CAAGTCTCACACGGGAGAGGAGGGTTTACAGCCAGCTATCGTGGGAATATTCTGCATTTGGAAAGCTAGAGGTTTAAGTAGGGGGAAGGAAAATGTCAAATAATGTGTATTAAAACTCTGCAAATAGATCTATATTGCCACGCTTTCCGGCAACAAGCACTCGTCTCTAAGCCCAGTAAGAGGTGGTTGGAATAATAAGAAGGCAAGCAGTAGACAAGGGTGAGATATGTTGAACTACACCAGCAAAGTGAAGATCTGCTCACTCTATTTTTAACTCGGAATCTTAATGAAACATCCCCCTAGCGCCCATGAGCTAGCTGTTTCTTTTTTTCTTTTTTTTTCTCAATGAATTCATTCAGTTGAAACAGATTTAGGCAGTAAAATGAAAAATGGTGCATGGAAATGACTGTCTGTGTTCAGTGATTAATATTAGAGCGAGACAAGTGATGATCTATTGCTGAACTCTGTTCAGTCAGTGCCCGGCAACACCGAGGATGAAAGTAATGAGCACTGTTGCCACAGAGTGTAATTACTGATTACTCTAATCAGTAAGATAACACACTCGCAGACTGTTTTGTAATTAACTTTACTTTATGTTGGATGCAAACAATAACTGCTTCTTTGTTATCTTGTGGGACAACGGAGCATCAATTTTGCTGTTGATTTTACATTTATTCTAGAGGGAAGTCTACTTTATAATGACTTTTTTGGTTATGAACATTTATGAGCTCTTTTGCATTCTCCAAGACATGAATATAAACAAAAAATAAATCTCCATGATGATGCTCAAGTGCAAAAAATGTGCCACTTAAAGCAGGGCTTACTTTCACTTTACTGGTTTCTGCTTACTTCCTTAAAAAAAAACATCTGACCATTGCAAACAAGCGCTAATCCACTGTCCAAAGAAGCTGGCAGCCTGGGAGTGCGGGACAATTGATTTCTATTTTGCAATAGGTTAGGTCAGGGAGGTGATGTGTGCGCTTTTGTCGCTCACAGGGGGGTCGGGGTTGAGCGGATAGATGGTAAACAAATATTTGACAGCAGCAGCAGCGGCAGCAGCAGCAGCACTGAGGGCTTCCTCTGTGGTGTGTTTTGTGCAGCGTGAGAGGCGGTGAACTACAGGAGTTTGTCTCGGCTCTTCAGTGCCCAGTTTTTTGACGGCCTGTGAGAGGAAGAGCTGCTCGTAATTGGTTTCTCAATGAAGGATCATCAGCGGCTCCCCGGAGGCTCGGCGGACTGTAGCGCAGCGCTGCTCCACCAACCGTCCGCTCCTCGGCTCTGAACACCGGCTTCGCTCTTCTGAGATAAACAAGAGGGCAGTGAAGGGGACCGAGCATCATCACCCTGCGAGTATTTTACAGAAGTGTCAAGCAGAGAGAGAAGAGGGGGTAAAAAGGGAAAAAAAGAAATTGTGATCGCGTTTTCTGAGACACCGAGCTGGGAGTGTAAAAAAAAAAAAACAACACATCGAGGAGATAATCGCGGCAAAGTTTTAACGCACGATTTCAACATGAGTGACCTGGAGGACGACTTTGCCAAGATCCTGCTGCTAAAGGAGGAGAGGATACGGGACTTGGAGAGGCGGCTGGCGGACCGGGAAGACGAGATCCAAGAACTGAAGAGAAAATTGCACAAATGTCAGTCTGTTCTGCCCAGCGCTCAACTTATCGGACCTAGGACCCGCAGGGCGCAGGGCATCTCCGCGGAGCCCCAGACGCACCAGGACCTGTCAAGGCAGTCGTTTCGGAAATATGCCAAATCCGACTGGTAAGACAGTTTTTGAGCAGGCGGTTGTACTTTATTCCTTCTGCTACGCCCATGTGTCTGGTTTTTTCCCCCACTCTAAAAATACTGCTTTGAGTGTTCTTGTCACGAGCAGGATCAGAGGAATCTAACATGATTAGGAAGCAAAAGTGGAACATAAAGATGAATGTGCTTGTGTTGCAAACTCACTCACAGGTTATCGTGGCTCATCAGTGCCCCCTCTCCATGTAGCATATTTTGTTGCATATTTTCTATATTCCTTTATGTTTTTTTTTCCTCTAAATGAAAGGCTGAGAGGTTTGCCATGAATGGACGAGCCACTTTCATTCTTGGGGGCCGATGACGCAGCTCCAAGGCGAGCTCCAGAAAAGAGCTCCTAATTGATCAGATCCATCATGGCAGTCCCACAGGACACAGACAGGAGGAAGTGCGATGCATTATTGGCTTTTAGTAGCTGGACGCTGAGGACCCGAAGTGCATGTCTGAGGATATTTAATACTCCATTAGAAAACGCTTTGTTTGACCATATGCTTCCTTCATCACCTTTAGGTGCTCTTTTTTGGAGGGGTTCACACAGTGTAGTTGTCCTTATTTTGAGGGATTTCATGAGAGGCCTGCGCTTGAATAGTTACCACTTTCATAGTTGTAAAGTTGGACAAACTCTATCTTTTCTTTTATTCCCCTGTCTGTCTTCATTATCAAGGATACATGACTTGATATACTGATGTCACACACACACACACACACACACAAGCAGTCATCACTGTGTTGACTCACTTAGTCCAACAGACAGTAGGGTTAATTTTATTAAGATGGCGAGACAGTTTCCAATCTTCATTTGCATTAATAAGTGGCAAACAGGGAAAGTCCTCATTTGGGCTCATTAGCTGATGCTCATTGTGTACCTTCAGTTAAACACAAAGAGTCCTGAGGCAAGAATTAAAAGAAGAAAAAAAAACTGTAGGCTATAGAAGTCATGAATGGCCCCGGTTCAATGAGAAGTAATCACTAACAGGCTCATATTCAAGATGAACATAATCAAGCAGGCTAATCATATTGGCAAGCTTTCTGTAGAACCAGAGTTTAGAGGAAAATGGTCAAATTTGCACACTGATGATGCACAGAGAGCTTGAATGGGGCTTCAGTGGACAAACAGCCTAATTGCAAGTGACCATATATATATATATGTATATGTATATATATATGTACTGAGATGATTGCCACCGGTGCCTGGAGGGGAGGGCGTCCACCCAAGCCGCCGTGCCCGCTGGGCCGCCATGGGGTCGGAGACGGTGTGACCCCCCATTAGACTCAGGACGTGGCACCAGGCGGCGGCCCGCCCCGCTCCTCGGATTACCGCAGCATGGAGCAACGGATCCTGTTTCTATTGATCTGCATAGGAAAAGGGCTGAGCTGGATGGCTAGAGAGGTGAAATTTAAAGCGCAGAGGTGCTTTGAAGGACAGTGGGAGGGCCTTTTTGATGATGGGGAGGATGCAGGGATGCAGCCTGACATCTCCAGGCACCTGCAGTTTCCTGATATGAAGTAAACTTTGCTGCTGCTCGAGCTCTGTGCCCCTGCGACCTTTCCCCAGACAAAGATAAAAGCAAATTTGTTTTTAATTAGCTCAGAGGAGGAAAGACTGATTTGGCATCATTAAAGAAAAGAGTGTTTGTATTTAGAAAGGAGCACTACAAGACAAATCTTATGGGAAAATTATATGAAGCGTTCATTTTAATGACTTAAACAGACAGTTAGCTCTGCTGATTGTTGAACAGATGTTCCTCGCAGTTGCTTTATCTCGTTTAAAGTTCTCACAGCTGATGTTCAGCCACAGTGTTTGCCTCTGTGATGTCTGGAAGCAGGTTTGACACTGTGCTTTGATGCTTATGTGCTTTTGTTTTTGCAAATTCTCGTACTGTGGAAACCTTAATGCCCATACTTGTTTAATCACAGGCCTACACGTTTTTACTTGCTCTGATATTCTAATGCTTCTAATTAACTACATACATCAAAAACAGTCTGTTTCCTAATGAGATTGCTGTGATGATCCACTAATGCAATATTACCAACTCCAGTGCAAGATCATTTAACGTCATTAATCATTTTTTTGCCACCTTCTTGTTGCTTCCCTGCGAGTTGCTCTTTCAACCCACCACAAGAGGGCAGCTGTGATCTTTTATTAGACCTTCTTTCCCCATCCAGGCTTGTTTGCATGCTTTTTGACAGGAAGAAGATGCCATATACCACCACACCAAACACACCCATCCTCCCTGCCCAGGAAACCACTCCTTTTTGTCCTCACTGTCCTGCCCTGTTGGCACAGTAATTACAGTTTTAGCCCCAGTAGCTCCTCATTCTATCAGATTGTCCTTGGCAGTTTATCCTTCTCTGAATGCATCCAGAGCGCATGAGGCCAAATGCTGTTCGCTGAGCTTCAGATGACTCATTGGGATAATGTGGACAGACACCAGCGGTCCTCAGAGTGCACACAACACCAGATTAGATGGGGGAATGCGGAGCTGCTGTGGGGAGTCGTGAGCCTCACTATCATTGCCATTTTCATGTCTGCCGTTGGGCACTCTTTCAGATAATAATGTTTTGCCAGTGGCACATTTCTACTTGCTCCAGTTTGGAATCTGTCACAAAATTAATAGTTTCTACACATGGACTGGTGAAAAGTTAAACTATTTGCCTTCCAGTGTGACATGCATTATATACCCCAAAGAATCACTGAGGTTCAAATTGGAAACAACATTTTCTAATATTTTCACTTTTTCCCATGTTGACACAATATGACACAATATATAAAGTTTTTTTTTTTTTCTCATTCTGATATGCGCAAATGAGCCCCCGTCCATAAGTGAAAACTGTTTTGTTTATTTTCACATTAAGGTTCATTAAGTTTTCCATCACCTTCAGCTTCCATTAAGGCTCCGGTGCTCATCTATTTGTAACTCAGCAGCCTCGGGGCGAGTTACCGAGGTATAATGACATGATTCTCCGAGCAATGGCTTTCTCACTGACTCCATTATTCATGTGAGACGAGCGCGACTCTCCGTGGAGTGGCAGACTGCACTGTGCCACAGATTCCTGTAGGCGCCCTTCTCGCAATGCGCTCTCTCCGGGTCGCAGCCTGACGCACTCGGGGAGGACGGTCCTCCGCTGTCACATCGCCGAGGGAGGGAGGAAGGAAGAGAGAAGAGAGAGAGGGAGAGAGAGAGGGAGAGCGACAGAGACAGTAAACTTTGCGTGATTGTGGCTGAGACGCTTTATGAGCTCACCTTGGCAGTCGCGTCAACGTACCTTCTCCTAAAATCTCCAACATCTCCCCTTGTGGCGGCGGAGAATCCCCCCCCTCAGGAGAGAACGGGTCTGCATCCTCTGGAGCTGTTCATGCCGGATAAAGTTTGTGAGCGGCGTGGTAGAGGAGAGAGGATAAAGATTCGACTGCACACCTTTCGATAAACTTTACTGGGAAGTCGCTCGTCGCCTCCAAATTGACATGGGAACCTTGCGCGATCTCCAGTACGCGCTCCAGGAGAAGATTGAGGAGCTGCGCCAGAGGGACGCGCTCATAGACGAACTGGAACTGGAGCTCGACCAGAAGGACGAGCTTATACAGAGGTTACAGAACGAGCTGGACAAATACCGATCCGTTATCAAACCGGCAACCCAGCAGGTCCAGAAGCAGACTGAGCTGCAAGAGCAGCAGCGGACGAAGAGGCAGGCAATCTCGGCCGAACCAACTGCCTTCGACATCCAGGATCTTAGCCATGTCACCCTACCTTTTTACCCCAAAAGCCCACAGTAGGTGTCCGGATTCATATTTACTTTTAACATTGATCGTCATAATATTTTGCATTAGCTGCTGCTCCACACTGCGCTCAATCACCTTTCTAATTCCTGTGCGTAATGGTTGCATGTGGCGCAGCAGGTACTTCACCTGTAGCGCACAGGGACGAGGAGGGGATGCTCTCTGTTAACACACGCACGCACACACGCGCGCTCACGCACACATACTCACACAAAAGCAGACAGTGGATTAGATGTGACACTATGTCTTCAACTATGAGAAATTCGAGAGAGGAAAAAAAAGGAGAAAAGAAGCTGTCACCAGTGACAGTTATCAATAGGATTATCAGCAGCCTCAGCGATCAAGAGCTGTATATCAATAAGCCCAATCACTGGCTTACGTGAGAGAGAGAAATGAAATGCCATCCAGTGACAGGGAATTATAGGTTTAGAGAACTGGTGGTGGCAGATCTGTGTAATGTACCAGTGCCTATTTTATACAAGCTGTGATTCTGTGACAGGCAGTCTTAACAGGCGCTGTGTGCATGTTTACCTTATGATTGGTCTAGACCCAGTCTGCCTGGCTTTCTCGCTCTCCTCTTTGCAAACTCAGTCTCCCCTGCTCAACTTGATCTGCAACAAGAGGTCAGGATCTCAAAGTAAAACTGCCACTAAAATAGCCTTAAAAAATCCAACTGGTTTGAACTTAAAGGCTGAGTTATGTTGAACCAACATGGGCAGGAACAACATCCACCATTCATTCCACAAGTGAATTAAAAAAGTGGATATATTAAATGTGGCAAATACATTTTCAAATCTGGATTAGTGGGACACTCAAGCCACTTAACATGAGCAACAAAAATGGAGTGTTTCAATTTAAATTGTCAGGGTATTATGCACTTTTAAATATAGCTTTAAAGGACCAGTCTCTACTCTCGTGCTGCTGTTTTGAGTCTAAGAGGGAAAAAAATTACACCCTTCAGATTTGGCAGTGAGATCAGATGCGTAAGATATGAATGTCATTATTGTGCCGACACACACAAACAAACAAAGCTCCAAGGATTTCATCAAAGCACATTCAAAAACGAGGGGGGTTTCTTTATTTGAGCTGTGAAAGGCCATTAGTCTTTGTTATACCTGTCAGCCATGTGTGTTGGAGGAAACACACAAAGCAGATTCTTTTCTTGTGTTTTGTTTTGGTTTTTTTTTGTCTCATTCTTGCAAATAAATGGAAGATCCTGGACACTGGCTTGAAATGGCAGATGCAGAAAACTCTCTGGAGTGACCATGTCATTATGGTAATCATCTTTGGCCTTTTGTTGTGTGTGCCATTTCCATTAAGAGATGTCTCAGAAACTCTTAGCCAGACCTTGACTTGAAGATAACTGTATGTGAAAATATCCATGCAGAAATCCATTGGCTTTACCTGCTTTTTTCCATCCAGTCCTTCAGAAAACTGGTGGATTGTCCCGAATTCTCACTTCTTTTTTTGGTATCTTGACTGCTGATGAGTTTCAATCCATTCAGATATCAAAGTCGATGGGAAAGGATGCGTCTCAGATTTGACAGACTTCAATTCATAAGAAAAAGCGACCAAATTCACATGTGAAAACTCAGAAGTTCTGAAAATCTGCTTCTTCTTACCAAGAGGTTGTTTGAACTTCCATCAAACCTTGCGGCGGCAGCTTCAATATTTAGATGAACTGCCCCTTTTCACACCTTTCACATGGCAGGAAAATATTATTTTGTTTAATATCTCACTTCTAATAAGCACATACGTAAAAAAAAATATGATTGAAAAGCAGACAATCTGTTGAAGGCAAATGATTTTAGAGCGTTTGGACACTTTTCTCTTAGTATTTCATTATTCTGTTATCATTTTTCAATTTGTTTGGACATCTTTGCTTGAACCCCTTGCAAAAGTTAATGTTTTTTTAAAAGATACAAAGCAATTCATTTGAATCCGAGCAGTTTAGTTTTTGTTGTGCGACTCTTCAAAGTTTAATTTTGTTATTGCTCAATTGAGAATAAAGAGTTTTTTCTTTTTTTTAAATTCCTTTTTTAATGAAATACGCAAGTGCCACCGTGGGCTAAAACTGCTCCATTACAGTTTCATTTTGTTTCGATTATTGAAGCGTAGCGATAGTGCCTGTTGGAGTTGGCTAAATGTTTATATTTTTCTTTCATTCTCACCCACTTTATCATCTTTACAAGACCCATAGAGCATTCTTTACACATAAGCTATCCATCCCTCTCCCTCTCTCTGCCTCTTACTTCTGTTAGCCTCTCCCACTTTTCTGCCACCCCTCTTCTTTTTTCCCCCTAAAAGAGCATATTTTCTCCTTTTAAGGAAGGCTGAACTTGCTCAGCCCAAACTTCACTACTGGATGAAAGCAAATATATCATCCTCACAAAGGAGAGGGAGGCAGATGTTTTTATAAGGGTCTGGTAGGAAGATGTTGCTCAGCGATGGCTGCTATCAAGGATTGAAACGGCTGGAAGTCTCTTGGGTGTAAATGTAAGAGAAACAGGGTCAACAAGGCACATTTCCAGGGGACTGGAGGTCAGCTATGGGAAAATGTTGGATTTCCAGCTTGCTCCTATTAGTTTAGTCAATTGCGTGTGCGTGAGTCTGCTGGCTCTGCGTGAAATGAAGCCTATTTTTAAGTGTCACCAACAGGGCTTCCCACCTTTATTAAGGTTGACTACACAAAACTTAATGAGAGCTGTCAACATTAAATCCTAATTATCTTCTCCCCCTGCTGAAAAACGAAGCAGGCTCGAACATAGATTGCTGGGTAATTTAAAAATAGGTGCAACACATCAATCATCTATTTTTAAAGTTCAAGCAGCAGCATTTTTTTGACTCTCAAGGGCAGAAAACAAACATCTAACAGGAACTTTTGGGTCATCCAGGTAGCTCCGATGGAGTAGTGCAGACATGGTTAAAGTCAAATAATATCCTGCAGGCATGGATGCTATTTACTCCACAGTCTGGTATGTCTTACTCATAGAGGACCAGAAATGACTGAGTATTTAAGGACAACAAAACTGCTAAAGAAAAGCATTTGCATGGCCTTTTAGGGAAAAAAAATAATTCTCATTCTTTGGGTTTTCCAATGAAATGTGACAACTCGTTAATGTTGGTCTTCAGTAATTTAGTTTCTCAGTTTCATATGTAAGTGCTAAAAGCAGGACTCTGCAGGCCTTGAAACCTTAATTGAAAATTTATGAATGTGGAATGCAAAAACACAGATTATAGGAACCACTCCATTGATGTTTCCACATTTGACACTCAACAAGACTGCTGGTGCAAAAATGACGCACTTGAAATGTGTAGTTGCCGGTGAAGGTTAGAATTTTTTGGATTTACGTGGTAGCTGCTTCTCAGCGGAGATTGGCATCTCTCATCTCACTGTTTGGGGAGTTTTTCATCTGAAACAGCAACACTGTTTCTCTCTCAAATTCGATAGCGCGTCCCACGATTTATTGGAGATGCGTTTGTGACCTTAAAAGTTCAACGTGAAGAGAGGTAAGATGCAGACTATAAAACATTACCTCATATACACATGAATTCGCAGAGGAGTTTGTTGTGCTTTGTTGAAAACACAGACATGGTGTTCAGCATATAAATCTTCGAAGAAGAAAAAAAAAAAAGCCTGGGCACTGGTGATATTGTTGCTTCAAGTTTTGTTTATGCAGTTGTGTGGCTCGTGAAGGACTTTGCTGCTGGCTGGCAGCCGGGCAGAGAAGCCTGTGTGCACTGGGAGCACTGCTTCATGAATGCCTTCCAGGTTATTTGCCCTTTTTATCTATAAGCTCTTCAGGTGATCTGCGTCAACAATGCACCAAGAAATCAGTTCCCGAAAAGGGCATGGAGCACAAAAAAAAGGCAGGAGGCAGTGACTCTGGATCCTCTTAGCAGGGAATTGCTGTTGCTTTCTGTTTTCATGTATTTGACTCAAAAGGCTTCCCTTCTCAGTGGGAGGTGTCTACGTGCTGGATTAACCCTGATACATATTATTAACCTCATTCATATAGCTGACACTCCGTCATAGCCAGCCGTGCGGCACGCCGCCGAGCATCTCAGACTGCGGTGATGACATGCTTCAATGAATGAGTGATCTTGACTCACTGTTCAGGATCTGCTCCGCCTCTGACTTCCCTCCCGTCTCTCGACACTTCTTTTTGTGTGATCGCTTTGGGCTCGCGTTGACGTTGCAAACTCCGCTGCACCTGGCCTGCTTTGACCTGTTGTCAGCGCATGGACACCTTTTATGTACAAATATCTCTCCTCTGGTACACCAGCTGCGTCTAATTTGAGCTCCTGGATTTAAAACGATAATTTGACATGAGCTCTTTTGTAATGTTGTCAGCCTGTTCATTTCCCCTGCTCTCCCTTTTCGCCCACCTCATAGACAACTCTTGCACCTTAACAACTGCACATTAGCTGTACAGTTAATTACATTTTCTTCCTCCCTTGCATAGTCATTGCAGAAAATACTTACCTGTGGATTGCACTAATGACTCTGCAGTCTGAAGGCCGAACTGGCTTTCAGGAGTGCAGCCCTGAATGGAAACAATCTGCTTCCATTAGGCATGGATTTAGCTATTTATTGACTTGTTCCAGTGTTTGGTGCGAATAAAAAGGTTTCGCCTTGATGTCTTTGCAATGAGGATATGTTTTTTTTTTGAAAAGCTGCTGTGCCGGTTGAGAGAGACTGTAATTGCCTTAGAAATAAGCAACATGCTGAAAAGGTCACCATCCTTCACAGGAGTTTAGAGAATATTTTGATCTTCGGTTTTGTTCGAGGTGTGTGTGTGATACCGCCTCTTCTGTCTCTTTACCTCTTTTTACAATCAATAGACACCAGTGCCATGTGAATTTGTGTTTGGGAAAGTCACTGCTTTTACAACGACGCGCTCGTTTTGTTTCAGGTCCAAGGATCTGATCAAGGAGGCCATCTTGGACAATGACTTCATGAAGAACCTGGAGCTGTCGCAGATCCAGGAGATCGTGGACTGCATGTACCCTGTGGAGTATGGAAAGGACAGCTGCATCATTAAGGAGGGCGATGTGGGCTCGCTGGTCTACGTCATGGAAGGTAAAAAGCACACACGCACGGAGGTAAAATCCTGAAGGTGCACGAATCCATTCAAATGAAAACCACAGGTAGAAAGAGCACAACGACTCTAAAGAGGAGTGTGTAACCTCTCGTTTCAACAAGACTTTGTTGAATCGTTTGGCACGTGCCTGTCTTTGAAAGCCTCATCATGACAATCAGGGAAAAAGAAATGAAAAGGCATTATTGATGGCTTTCTGCGGGGTGATACACCAAAACCGAAAACTATAACACTTTGTGATGCTGTTTGATTCACTCTTGTCACATTGATTTTATTTTGTGCGATGCTGCGTGCCTGCTGAGTCCTTTATGCTTCGTTCCTTTTTAGCAATATTGTTTCAGCATGTGGCTTCTTTTCTTTTCTTTTCTGTTTTTTTTTTTTTTTTTAATAGATTGAGTGAGAAAACTCTGATGACAGAAACGACAGCAAAACATCCACTTGGCACTAATGGGATTTGTGAAAGGGCATTTTTGCTATTTGTGACAAGTGATACTGCAGTAAAATGATCAGACAGCCATTGTCCCTGACAGCAGATTTGACCTTGGACAAAGTGGCCTCAGTCAATGCATGCACGATGTAACCGATCTTTATATAGAGGTGAACTTGGACATTCATAGACATTATACCAACTAAATATAGAGCGTATAAATGAATATTACTGCTCGACTCCTTCCTAAAAGCTTCTAACTCGCATTTTCCGCTGACATACAGTTTCATGAGAAGTGTAACTAAAATGTAATGAGCATTAGATAGTTTAATTAGATTTGAATGTTGTCGATATGTATGTTTGCAGTTCCATTCTTCTGAACACAATACCTTAGGAACGCTTTGAGGGAAACATTCACCTGGACTCAAGGATGAACTGATTAGAATTTGGCTGTCAAGGGCCAAAAGTCAAAGGTCATTGTGGCAAATTACATTTTTGTCCATAACTCAAGAATTAATCCATTTATCTTCTTCCACTTACCTGGGGTTTGGTGCTAGTGACAGCATGCAAAGCAAGACATTCCAGACATCCCTGTCTGGGGGTCTCCTCGTAGTTGCCTAGAAAATCTTCAAAGGAAGGTGCCCAGGAGGCGTCCTAATATGATGACCGAACCAACTCAGCTGGCTCCTTTTAAATCCAAATGTCCCAACTCCACATCCTATCTCTTAGGCTCATCCTAGCCACCATATGGAAGAAATCGATTTAGGCTTCAGTCTCACTCTTTTGGCCACTACCCAGAGCTCGTGACCACAGGTGAGGGTTGGGAGGAAGACTGATTAGTAAACAGAGAGCTTTGCCTTCTGCCTCAGCTTCCTCCACATGCTACCATGGTTCAGCTCAAATACATTACTACTGACAAGCCTTCTGTCCATCTCACGCTCCGTTTTTGCATTACTTGTGAACTAGATCCAGAGATACCTAATTTTCCTCTCTTGGGGCTCGAGAAGTCATATTCTAATGATTACAAAATGTCACCCTTAAGTCTAATAGGACAAAATGAGGGCATGATGACATTTTATATCCGAAGGTTAAAGGTCAGCTTCATTGTATATTGCATAATGAACTGCAAAAAACATTTTCTGGCCAGTACTCAATGCCATAACACAGTAGCAGAAAGGGGAGACTGTGACAGTGTCTCACATTTAGCCCAATACTGAACTGGTGATACTAATCTTGGGTGCCCACCTTGACTCTGTGGTGATGGTATTGATCTTTTGTGCTACCTGGTTGAAGAAGTGTCTGAAGCATCCAAGTTTTAGAATTTGGCAGCATGTCTCTCATTGGAAATTATTCACTGGACTCATACATGCCAATATTATGATATTCACTTAATGCCTTTTATCAAACAGCTTCAAAAACTTCAATACAGATATTATTGGTCCAGAAAGACGTGGATGTAAATTTCAACTTGGCTGTTTGACGTAAGCATACATGCACAAAGCAGTGATTCTAATGTAGGTGATATGAAAATACTTTCCCTAAAACCTTAACGACATGGCGGAACAACGAGAGAGTGAAAGAGCATAAAGCATCTGCCGAGGCTGTGGCATTTAAAGGTTAATATTTTACTAGGAAGGATGAATCAAGAAAATTGATTGTTGCCTCTTTTGTCAGCCACCTCCTTTTATTATTGGGTTGCCAAGACATTTCCCGGACATCCCACTCAGCCAAACATAGTTAGGAATAGATTTGCGGCAAAGTACGGGCTAAAATAAGATAAACGGCATTTGGTTCAATTCCACAACAAATTTGTAATTCTATAAAAACATACTTTGCACTCGGATCTCTTCAAACTGAGGCAGGTGTTACGACAAAACGTCCCACAGCTGTACTTTGCGATTCTTTCTGAGCGCTTAAGTACACTTTTCACTTGACTCAGCAGAGAAACGCTGCTTCTTATTTTAATATAATTGTATTGTAGTCACAGGAGCCATTTTCCTGCAGATGTGAGTGTGTTTTGCTTTTAATAACATCGTACTGAAGTAGAATGGAAATTCAAGGCCTATCTTACATTGTGCTGCTGCTTTGTTTACGTAAGTAAATGATCTGAGTACTTTCTCTATTTACATTCCTGTTGCAATAAGGACACTACTTGTCGCCCTTATCTTTCGCTGTAGAGAAGTCAGATATGTAAAGAGTTTAACTGGTATAATGTAAATCAGATGCAAAACTCAACTGTGGACTGGACACCAGTAGCATGAGATGAAATGTCAGCATTTATGGAAGTATTTGGTACTGCAGTAAAATCAATTGTATTTTTATGTCACATCAATTCCTTTAAAAAAACAAAAAAAAAAACAGACATTATATTCATGATAATTGCACCACCGGCCTGGTAGAAAGCAACAGTTGTGGACAAAATCAGGAAAAAAGAAACGTGTGAATCTCCAGACAGAGAGCCTAAACACCTGTGGTCTTTTCATCGAACACTGGTCAACCATTATATAGGTGGAAAGATTTCAATCTCGCCCAGTGACGGAGGCTCCGAGAAGATGATTGCGCCAGAGGTGACTCGTCATGCTAGGTCACAAATGAGCAAGTGTGACACCGACATGATGAATAGATTCCTCTTGAGCGAGACAGAAAGAGAGAAACGAAAGATACGAATCTGTAAGAGAAATAATTGTTGAGGGGCTCTGTGGTTACCTCTGACAGTGACAGAGGAAAGAACTGCCACGTAATTGGAAATAGGGCCTCAATTCAATAGCGGTCATATGACACTAATATCAAACGTTTGGTTAATTATTTTCCATTTTCAAATCCTCAGGGCAGACTTAACAAATTTATCTTCAATGAACATTATCGTTTCTCTCTGGCTGGCCCTAACTCGTTCCTGTTCTCCTTCTTGTTCCTTTCTCTCTCGTGTCCCTTGCCAGCAGTTTTCATCCTAACTGTCCCCGGCCTTGTTTTGCATAAAAACAAATGTTAAAAGCATTAGCCCAAAGGGGGACGACTTTGCACCAAGGTCTGCGGGAGCCCATCACACTCAGTGACTTTTTAATCCACGTTGACAGGATGTCTGACTGTGCCATGCCATGTCAAACACGCAGCTGCGTCGGCTCAACATTGTACACCATTTTCCCAGCAAAAAAAAGTGTTCGCTGCTCAGGTGGTTGTGTCATTTATTACAGAGACTTGGCAGGCTGGTTGTTGACGCTTTTGCCTCAGGACTGACAGTTAGCTATCATCGTGTAGCCTTATTAGGCACATGTAAGCTGCACTAATTCCTGCACCAGTAGTAAAAATAATAAGAGGTACATTGAGTCATTGCTCTCACTTTGAAATTGTTTTAAATACGAGAGTGCATAACTTATTCTCCCCTCCCGGTGGACTAGATTGATATTTCAGTGAGGATCACAGCATCTCTGTTTTAACAACCTCGCAGTAGTTGTGTTTCAGATACACCTGATAATTGGAGATCAGACAAAACAAGGGCTGCAGAAACAGAACGGAACGTGGCATTGGCTCGCTGCTATGATGAGGCTGCCCGCTTGGCCGCGGCTGCTGTAATGAGTGTTTGTTGTATTTTGGTCGCTTCCACTGGGCTGTAGCTGACATCGGTCCTCTTTAAAAATACTGATTGCTACAGAGACAAAAGCTCACGTTTCCATGGCGATGGGATGGGTTTTTGATTGGTTATCCACAACGACCCGTACAGGTGGCTAATGATGATAATAACTCGTATAATCACATCCAATTATGATCAAGTATTTTCCCCGACAGTGAAACCCCATCGATTTCTTTCGCAGCAGCCGTCAGTCAACTCAATGTAATGAAACTCGGTTTGCTAATTTGAATATGCAGCGCTGGTTCTACCTGTCCTCTAGGAGAATGTTGCAGGAGCAGGCAGAGTGTTAAAGTAAGCTTGTTAGAGCATAATCCTCAGCTTTGAGAATAGAGATTTGATTATTAGTTTTAAATGGCATGAACCCACTGAACACTGGGCTTTGGACAAAAAGCAAATCCATGAAGAGCACATGATCCTTTTAATCTATAAATCTCGATTAATTCGCCCGTCAGCTGGGGAATTTTTTTTTAAACGAGTCAATAAATGGGTTTGTGTTTTTACCCAGAGTAACCTCAGATTGGAAGCTGGCACATGACGTGAAAAGTGGCTGACCTTTAGGTGTAATATCAAAACTGTTCCAAGTAATTATATATATATGTCACCATTGACTAATCTGTCACTTGTTTTCACAGTTAATCAATTTGCCATTTGATCTGCAAACGATAAAACAAATCTCATCCAACACCACAGTCCGTCCCATCAGTGGTCCAGAACCACAACGACAATTCATAAAGCTAATTTCATAATCGACAAAGAAACCAACCAAAAAGCTGAAACTGAAAGCTCTTGTGTATTCACACAAAAGAACTGCTCAAATGATCAGCTAATTAAGCATTTGACAAATAATTTCAGCTCTGCTTCACATTTTCATTTATGGCTTGATGCTTTTAATTAAATGGTAAAAATCATGACTGTTCTTCTGTGCC